AAAAATTTAAATTAAAAGAAGGTAATGTATAATCTCTAATATTAAATAAAAATTCTTACAATGAAAGAAAATCTACTCTCTTTAAGAAAAAAATTAGTGTTAAAAAACCAAACTATTTGTTTAAAGGTGGATATTCTACAACCTTTAAAATACAACAATAGAAGTGAGGTAATCTACTTAATTCTAAAAAAAGATAAAAATAATAAATTAGCATTCTTATCAAATAGTCAAAGATATGAATCTTGAAAGAAAAAAAAACTTCAATATATTCTTATGTCACTTGAAAAGACTAAAAAAATCATTCAAAGATGGTAAAATATTGAACTAGAATGGCTATTATCAAAGACAAGAAGAGTAAAAGATTTTGAAATAAGATTCAAGGACTAGAAATACATTAACAAGAGTTAAGAAGGCTTTATTCTTACTTTTATATAAACTATTTATCCAAGAGGTATGTGGCAATGTTCTATGTGACCTGTAACACGTGTTGACTTTGCTAAATATATGTTTTAACATGCAAGACAAGTTTTATATATATGTGCCACATAGTTAATTTGTTCGATAAGCTACTATCATGTGTGGCATGTGGTTAAGTTGTTGACCAAGTTTCTAATCTACCAATCAACTACAAACACATATGAAATCAAAACTACATCTATGAAGCTTTTAAAAAGCTTATCTAAAAGTTATTATGAAATTAATCTACATTTACCTACTTCTACTTAATAATATAGATAATTGTATGTTTGTAATAAGTATGCATAAATACTTTTATACCTATGAATAAAGATTTGGTTGTATTAAAATTATGACTTTTTATTTGCATTACAAAAATTTAAATCAAATTATAGAAAAAATTGAAATTACAAGAAATTTAATTTCTTCAAGCATTATATTTTTTTAGTAACAATAAACCTAAAATAATTGAGTTGAAAGAAGATCTAATAACATGAAACATTATTAAATTATCATGTCCATTATTTGCTATAATTATAGAAATTTTTTCATGGATAACATCTATAAAAGTCAATAAACAACAATCTATGACTTTTACATATACAGACTTAGTTTTTTTGATTGAGAATATTTATTATTTTTTAGTAAAATATTTACCAATAAATCAAATTGAATCTTTTGAATCTAATAAAGTTAAGGCTTTGTAATTTTTTCATCTAATATAAATATCTATTGTAAAGCAAAGTGAAGGATTTGATGAGAGAATAAAATCTTTATTAGGTGTTGCATAAGATTCTAGCAAAATAGTTCTTATTTTAGCTAGAAAAACTTATTTTTCAACACATTGTTTACTTTGAAAACCATATCTCTCATTTTGAGATTTTATTGTCTCTTTGAATAATATTAAGTAGTGAGTTTAGATTCTCTATAATATAAGTACAATCTTTTTTAACAATGTTGAGTCTTTTCTTGTTCAATTAGATTTAAAATATATCATATCAATATACATAGATTTTAGCCTTAATGAATAAGTTTCTAAAACAACAATTTCTTAGTTCTTTCTTTCCAATGAAGTCTTTACTTTTAGCATCTATCAAAAATTTGATTGTTGTATGAAATGGCTTAAGTAATAAATTATTTCAATGAATTTGTATTTAACATTGTCAATCATAAATCTTTGATAGTCTTTTAATTAATATTAAATTTAATTAATAATAGCTTTATTGTTTCAATCTATATTATAAATAAGGTTTAGAAATATATATGGAAGCTAATTTATGTTGGAATTTAATAATATATATAAATAGATAATTTTTATTTTATTATAAAAATAGTAGTTTTATTTATACTACCCTTTTTCAATTATATTTTTTAAATGTCACTATGAACAAATCCAAGAATGAATTAAGAACATATAAGAGTTGTAGATTCTTTTGCATTAAAGGTACAAATTAAGAATTAATACTTTCACATAAAAGTGTCTCTATAAATCCAACTTGAGTAAATCCATGAAGATTTGTAAAATGATGTAATCTTACATAGATCTTGACCTTTTATAAGAATCTTCAAATAAATTGATTTGATTCTATCAAACTTCTCTGACAATTAATTCCTTCCTTTCTCATATTTATAGTAATAAGACTTTGTGGATTCAAAAGTGCAATTGATCTACGTGCTTTTCTCAATTGTACAACTTTTTGGTATTGATATTAGACCTCATTATTAACTTTTTTTACATGCATAGGAATAGTACTTCTATAGTTGATATTGATAATATATAAAATTTCCACTTTAAGAGTGTTAAGAAGCTTCTAAAGATTTGAAATATTCACAAATCAATTCAATCTTTTATCAAGTATAGCATCTAAAAATATCCTTTCTATCTATATAACTTTAATAAATCTACAAATCAAATTAAAAGAAGATAATCTGCAATCTTTAATATAAAAAAAAATAGTTTTCTTTCTTTAAAAAAAATAATAATTTTACAAAATAAAAAAAATATTAATTGTATAGTAGTTAGTCTATAAATTTTAAAGCACAACAAAAGAAGTAGAGTAATTTACTTACTTCTGGAAAAAAATAAAAATAGACAATTAGTACTCTTGTCAAATTATCAAGGACATAAATCAAAAGTAATCATAGATTCAATACATTCTTATATCCCTAAAAAAAATAGATGTTTATTCAAATATAAGATAATATAAAATTAAAATGACTATTATCAAAGATAAAAAGAATAGAGATTTTTAAAATAAGATGAAAAACAAGAAAGGCATTGATAAGAGTGATGAAGGCATTCATATATATTATCTAATTAGAAGCTATGTGGCAACATTGTCATATATATATATTTAATATACAATTTATTATATAATGTAGTGAGAGCCATGTTATTAGATTTTAATTGATTACAAATGTCATTAGATTATTACTTTGAAGTACTTAGTTTAAAAAGGCTATTATTAAGGTTAATTTTATGTTAATAATAATTTTTATATATTTAGAGCCACCTTTATTAAACATTGATGATTCTTAAAATCTTATTTTATTTTTTTATTTGATATTTAGGTCACATATTATGTAAAACTTATTAGAAAAAGAATTAGAGAAGGATTTTTGCATCAAAAGAGATAGTTAGGCCAATCATATAGATGAATGGAGATGGATGATAAAAATCTCCATTCTCATTGGCCAAAAGTCATATCCAATAGACTTTAAGGAGGGTGCCCAAGGCCTTATGGGGAATTAAGGTTATTCTTTTGAGACCATTCAAACATTGGAGGTTAGAATTGTTAAGTTTAAGATTTTGAGTATGGTTTTGGTAAAAATTTTGTATGATTTGGAATTTTTGTGAAGGAGATATAGGCACTCAAAGTTAAAATATCAATTTTGTATCTATTGTCACTCTTTGGAGCATAGCGCATGCATATAAAGAACTTTTAAAGATTGGATTGTACAATTGGAAAATTGGTTTAAATGAATATATTTTGCATGCAAAATGCAAAGAGTTTGGAATTGGTTTAGAAGAGTATTGACTACTTGAATACAATGCTTTCAAATTGAGCTTAAAGTTAAAGGCTAAATTATCTAGAAATTTAAGAAAAACTGAAGAATTGGATTAAGAGATATAAAATTGTAAAATTTGGGGAAAAAAAATTGTTTGTGGGAGAAAAATATTTCAAAAGGATTTTGCTACAATTTGGATATTTTATGCAAAGTAAAGGGATTTTTGGAAGTCAAGTTTTTATATATGTATAAATATGGAGATATGGAGATAGAAAGCTATGAAAAAATTATGATATAAAGATGAATTTTTGAAAGGAGATTATGGATTTTCTTTCAGCTTATTGGAAATCTAACTTACCAACAATGATTAGTTATGATTTGGTATAGCAAAGGATGTTAGAAAATTTCTAGATGCTCTTAAAAACTTTATGTATAAATCTCCTTAAATATAAAAGGTTTTACTAATAGAATATCTTTTTATATTGCTATGCTTATTTGACTTCTTTAATAAGAATAAATCACTTATTGGAGCTTGGTCAATAAGTTAAGGCTAAACTCTTTACTGTTAGATATCTAATGCATTTTCAAATAAAAAATCACTCTATACAACAATGTTCTATAAAACCTCCAACACATGTTTAAAAAATACTGAATTATCCTTGAATACTTTTAAATATTATTTAATAATTAATTAAATATATAATAATTAATTCAAAAAAATTAATAAAATTAAAATAAATAAAATAAAAATGACCTACTTTTTAAAAAAGTACTAATAACTATTAACTATATTATTAATAGCATTAGTTCTTATATTTTTTATACAACTATTAAAAGAGCTATTTTTAAAATTAAATAATAAGTATTAAAAAGATTTAAAAAACTGCTTTTAAAGAATATAAAAATTACAATTAAAATCTATATCTTTAAAATTTAATTTATCAAACCAAAAACTCTAGTGTTAGAGGTGCAAAACAAAATATGTATATAGAAATTTGTAAATACACAATAAATCTTTAATGGAGTAAGTTGTATTAATATATAAATATAGATATAGATGTATAAATATATATATTCTTTAATATTTAAGAACTTATGTTTATTTTTTGGTCCAATGTAATAATTATTGAATATAAAAATATTATTCATGTGAAAAATTTTATATTCAAATAAAATTATGTGACGTGATAACTTATGCATATCACATTTATCTAAAATGAAAACAGATTCAATACACAATGAAATAATTATTTAAAATACAATCACCACAAAATCATAAATAACCATTTTATAAAGCATATCATGCTAGTTATTAAAACAAATAGTATTATATACACACTAATATAAAAATTTTACTAATCAATTCAATATTTTCAAAACAATAATCAAAGTTAAATCTTAACAGACTATCATAAATATAAGCATATAACCGAAAAGTCCAGGACCAATACCATGGTAACATGTAACACATTCATCCAAAACACATAAACAAAATAAAAGGAATCAAAACTTACTTCCACCCATACAATCTTACAGTGAGAAAATGATATGATGGTTTACTTTTCTTTTCTTTTATTTTTTTAAATTTATTTCTGCGTGTACCATTTTATGCACGCAATGTGAAGCCAGCTTATAACTATGCAACTAATCCAAAATGCGACATCAGGGGCGTCACCGAAACTACTCTTCACTGTATTTCGACGATGCAACATATGTATATATATATATATATATATATACAGATATGCGTGTGTGTGTGAGTGCATATCACAAATACAGAAGCTGGTATCACAGAAGAACCATCGCCTCTGATTTCATGTGCACGTCGAATTATGAAGCTAGAGCAGCGCCGCGGTGACAAGCACCGACACCGCGAGCACCATCGCCGTGCCGACGCGGCGAGGATTCGCCGCGTCGGGCGTGGACTCTGACGGCGATGGAGCGGTGTCTGTAGAAGGGGTTGGCGGCAGGAGAGTTGATGCCGAAGGAGCACCAGCTGTTTTCGCAGGATGAGCGTGACTGGTTTTGTTTGCAGGTGCTGGTGGAGGTGGAGGCGGAGGATTCGTCAGTTGGTTTGGTGGAGATGGCGGGCTGATATCCGTGGGAGGAGGCGGAGGAGGTGAGGAAGCTGGAGTGGGTGGAGGGGATGAGTGCGGTGGTGGTGGTGGAGGCGGAGGAGAATGGTGCGGTGGAGGTGGGATGTTCGCGGGGGGTGGAGAGTTGCTAGCAGCTGGAGGCGGGTGGTTCTGCGGAGGCGGGGAATGGTTCAGAGGCGGCGGGGACTCACCAGCCGATGCTGGTCCTAAGCTTTGCGCAACCACGACCTTCATCAGCATGCCTCCTTCATTGCAGTCGCCGGCGAACCCGCTGATGTAGTAGTACGTGCCTGCTGTCCGCAGCTTAACCACGTCGTTGCCGGATTGGTACTGTCGGATGGGATGCAGCGTGTTGCACGTGGAGTAGTCGTTCGAACTTACTTGCTGCAAATTGTATTCTGTCGGATCGTATCGGAAATCTGTAAAATGCCAAAGAATTTTGTGCTCTTTAGGAAATCCCTTCAAAGGCAATCTTGTTACTCGTTAGGGGATTTAATTTTTTGTTAGGCTTTGATCGAGTTTTAGGAGGTACGCGAGCTTACTTAATTTATCACCAGTGACGAAATGTTTTTCGGTAGCCCAGTCTGTGTAGTGAGAAGCAGTTGGAACGGAGGTCCATCCCCCGGGTCCTCCCACAACGTACTCCACTGCCATAGCCACTGGAAGCAGTAGAGCAGAGCACGCGAGCACCACGACCAGCTCCAATATACTTCTGTGAAGCCCCATCTTCAATTGACTCACCAAAACCAACGCTGATTATCCCGCCTATTGAGAAGAAATACCAACGGTGATCCACAATTAAAGTGGCCCCCGTTACATGAAAAATGTTCATCAAATTTGTTTATTTTAAGTAAGCTTCACTATGATATAGTTCATTATAATTAATAATAATATCATTCAACTGAAACGCCTCCAATTGAGTGCGAGCCATGTTTGTTGGATGTTTACAAACGGCATTCAATAAAGCTTAAGCACGATCAATGACTACATGATTAGTCTTCTTTAAGTCTCTAATTTTGATTCTTTGTTCGGCTGGAAATATTAACAAATTTCGTAATTCAATAAAAGAAGAGCAGGATGAAATCTTGAATGACAATAATCACAACTACTTTTAATTGGTGAAATTATACTGATTACACTCATTTGATATCTAATTGTCTTATAAGTTGAACACGGTGTTTGGGAGAGTAGGTGACGCCATTCTGAGCAGCTCAAACTATAGCTTAAGTTTCAGCTCAAAACATTGGGACCACCGAACCCGGTGCACTGACCAATGTCTCAATGACACTGAAGACATAGATTTTCTTTCTCAGAGTCTGACATGCAAATGAGCCGTTGACATATGACAACCAAAATAAGCGTCAGCTATCGAATACCTCTGCTGTTCTCGGATATTGCCAAGACCTTCACATTCTACGCGCAGCAATTTTCCTGCGGAGTTCCAAGCATCGAGCCTGTCAGTTACTGAAGTTCCGATCAGTTCAGTTCATTCCACCAGTGGATCCGCATTGGAGAACTAAGAAACTCAACACACACTGCACACAAAGACTTGCAATACTACCGCTGGTGGAGTGTCCCTCCTGAAAGCGCTCGGAATCTCCCAACCCAAGCGATCCGACACCCTCGCACTGATTTACTATGAACTAAAGCTCTAGAGAACCAATGTCATGCAGCATTTCCCGTCAATTCCTCTCAGGCAATGCGCACAGAATGCAGACAACGAAGATCGCTGTGGACTCAAAGAAGGAGGCTGCAAAGAAGAAGAAGAAGTGGATGCCAGGAAGCGGTGTGCGAGGTAAAGAAACGGCGAAGGGGAAGCGCGAAACGGAAGAATCGATGTCAAGATCCCTCCACGACGGACAGACGGACGAACAAACAAAATATTTAAAACGATGAACAAACAGACGAACGAAAGGGCGGACGGACGGTTGAGATGTAGAGATCTGTTGTCGAACATGCAGATGCTTAATGGACCAAACAAGAGAGTTCAACACTTACTATCCAAATTCATTACATGTTACTTGCATGTTAATTTTATGAGTACATTATTAATAATTGATTATGGAGAATATTAAATAAATCCATATTTTTACTAAATAGACCTGTTCTTGATGAAGAATATGATCATAATGAATGTGATTGGTTTTTGTTGGTTGCAAATCTAAAAATTATCAATGACATGAATATTAAAGAAAGAAATCCATAATACACTCTTGTGTCATTCAAAAGAACTAGAAAGTCACTTAAAGATGATATGGTATTAAATTAGAATGGCTATTGCCAAAGACAAAAAAACTAGAAAGTTTTGAAGCAAGACTAAAGACTAAAAAGGCATTGACAAGAGAGAAGAAGGCTTCATTCTTACCTCCATATGTACTCTTAACTAGGAGCTATGTGGTGATGTCCTATAGAACTTCTAAAACGTATTGACTTTGCAAGATATATATCTTAACTTACAAAGTAAGTTTCTTATATGTACACCACATAGTTAGTTTTTATTGACAAGCTACCAACATGCAATTAACTTATTGACGAAGTTTTTTATCTACTAATCAACAACAAACACATGTAAAGTCAAAGTAGAGTCTATAAAGCTTTTAAGAAGCTTCTCTAAAAAATATCATGAAATAAATCTATTTTTACCTACTTCTATTCAATCATATAGATAAATAATATAGTAAATATGTATGTCCGTGACATTATCTTCCTTTCTAGGGATGAGTTCTATAAGGATTAATCATCATATGTTGAAGAAATCCAAAATGCGACAAATTATATTTGCAACATATTCTGATCTTTATTCTCTTCAATGATGGTTGATAGGTCTTCTTAGCCATCAATAGTATCTCATACTAAGGCAAGAAGATCATTTTGTTATTTGATCATTGTTGAAGCCTTAGTAAATTTTTTTAAATAAAATATTTGAAACACCATCAATAGTCATCTAACCTCTAATAAAATCACCAAACATCAAGAGTCTCTTCTAAGATCGTGCTACCAAATACATTATATCTTGCTATCTATTCAAGGAAGGACATGTCATTCTTGAGGATCTTCATCTTGATTACATCGTTTTGAAGGTTGTGACAATCATAATATCTCGTCTAATAAGGCAACAAGTAATAGTTCTTGAGTTGAATATGTTACTTCTTGGTTTTTTATTTTTTTTGCATCACAAATGTACAAAAGTACCAAATAAGAGTAGAAGGTAGAATGTTATCTTTTTTACATCTTGTTTCTTTTAAAGCAAAGATTTAATATTCTTCATCTTGAATTTGATGGATTTTGTTGATGAAAAATCTCAACTCTCTTTGTTGTATTTACAAGATTCTTTGTTGGCTCCTATGTGCATTTATTAATATCATATCCATCCCAATGAATAAGAAATTTCAACCTATTTTGGCACTACCGTAAATCTAAGACTACTTCTAGTTCAAAATCTTTATTATTATCTATTTTTAAAGGAGGAGGTGGCATTTGTCTTCTTTCTAAGCTATTCACTATCTTATATGCCTAAAAAAGAGATACGTAAAATACGATATGGATTTTCATAGACTCTGGTAGATGTAATTAATAAGCAATAGGATTGACTTCTTGAATAATAGAAAAAGGTCCAAGCCTATAATAGTCTAATTTGTTATAAAGACAAGTAGTCTTGATATTACAATGGAGTAATTATACCTTGTCATCCATATTGAAATGTAGCTATTCCTTGAAATACGCATCCGCATTGATCTTTTGTTGTTTTTGAGCTTCTTTTCACTACGCCTTTATTGTTGCATATAACTCTGACAAATAATTTGCCAAATCTTTTACCGTAGGATTATTAACTTTCAAAAAGTCAAAAATATTAAGTTATAGATGATAACCATAATTGGCAAATAAAGGTGTTTCTTGAGTAGAAGAGTGTATTGAATTATTATACATAAACTTTATCAATGGCAAAAGAATTATCCAATCGCCTTGATGATAGTTGATGGTATACCTCAAATACCACTCCAAAACTTTATTCATCCATTATATTTGTTTATCAATTTGAAGATGAAAAGTAAAAAAAAATTATATTATTTTTAGAATTTTAATAAGGATTTTCTAAAATCTTGATGTAAATTGAGTCTCTTTATCTAATATAATATCTTTGGACAATCCATAATAATGATAGATATTTTGAAGAAAAAGCTTAGTTATTTCTTCACCTATGATAGATTTTGTATATGGTACAAAATATGCCATCTTCGTAAAACAATTATCATGGATATAAATTTCAAAGAAGAAATCCTCATAATACTCTTTTATCAATGAAAAGAACTAAAAAGCCACTCAAAGATGATATAATATTGAACTAAAATAGCTATTATCAAAAACAAGATGACTAGAAAGTCTTGAAACAAGACTAAAGACTAGAAAGGTATTGACAAGAGTAAAGAAGGCTTCACTCTTGCTTCTATATATACTTTTAATAGAAGCTATGTGGTGATATTCTATAGGACCTTAAAAACGTTTTGAATTTGTAAGACGCATTGTCGGGATAGAAAGAGTTTGCCTCAAGAAAGCACTAGGCTCTTAGTTGTCGCTAATTACTCAATCAAGTCTTGGGATAAGAAAGACTAAGTTTGTGTGTGTATATATATATATATATATATAAATATATATATGTATATATATATATATATATATATATATATATATATATATATTATACTTTTAGGAACAATTAAATCAAATATATAAGTCTTAAGTTCCCAAAAATATCTAAAATATGATAAAAAAAAACTCTAAATTCTTATATATCCTTATGGGATATTACTTCCAAACTTCAACAACTCATATCTTCCAATTGGACTATTAAAATATACTCAAATTTTATATAAAGTACTAATATACTTCTAACAACTATCATAACAAATTTCAACAACAAATTTATTGTGGATCTTAAGATATCACTAAAATCCTAATAATAGCTTCAAACCCAATTTTTATATACATGTATATAATTTTCTTAACATCTCACAAATTAAGCATTCAAATTCTACAAAATTTATATATATAGCTTTTTAATACAATAATCTATCTTTTTCAAAAAGTTTAAGCCAAAAATTCATCTAGAAACTTAAGATATGGCTTTAACTATTACTATGAATAAAATCACTTACTTACTTCCTTTGATTTGGATGTGCTGACTTCAACTCTCTATAACTTCTTTATTTAAACTCCAAATTCAGCAAAAAATCATGTAAAATGTAGTCAAAAAAGTTCTCTCTCCAATTCTAGTTATTGATCCTTTGTTGCTCTTTGTAAATGTATGTTATATTCCAATGAGTGACAATAGGTACAAAATTGACACCTTAACTTTGCGCGCCAATAATTCCTTCATAAAAACTCCAAATCACATAATATTTTCATTTAATCCGTATCTAAAACCTAAATTTGTTGATCTTAGCCTCCAAAGCTCAAATTACTTTGGAAAAAAAACCCTAATTCCTAATAAGGCCTTAGGTAGCCTCCTTGAAGGCCATTTGGTATGGCTTTCGACCAATAGGGATGAAGATCTCTATTCCTTACCTTCATCTGACCATGCCTTGCTTTCATCCCTTCCAATAAGCCTCCTAGTAGTTTAGATTTTCATCTTTAGGCTCTAATCTCCTTTCAAGGCTTCATACTAAATATTTAGGTCTTATAATTTTTTAAATTCCATAATCAAAATAGATAAAACTCAAAATAAAGTTTCTTATATCCACTTGCTTTAAATTAATCCATTAACCACTCTAACACACACGAAAACTTATGAATATATTATATGTTCTAACTAATTTTTATATACTATAAGCAATTACAATATGACAATGTATCTTAACTTGCAAAGCAAGATTTTTATATATGCATCACATAGTTAGCTTGTTTTGCAAGCTACAATTATATGTTTAATTTGTTCACTAAGTTTTTAACCTATTAATCAATGACAAACATATGTAAAGTCAAAGCAACATCTATGAAGCTTTTATGAAGATTCTCTAGAAGGTATTATAAAATTAATCTACTTTTATTTATTTTTATCTACTTCTACCTAATCATATAGGTATTTATTAGAATATATATGTATATTCTTAAGATTATCCCTCCTTCTAGAGACAAATTCCATAAAGAGCAATCATCATGTATTGATGAAATCTAAAATGTGGCAAATTATATTTGCCAATTACTTTAATCTTTATTTTCTTTAAAGATGGTTGATAGGTCCTTTCAACCATCGATAGTATCTCATATCAAGGCAAGAAGACAATCCTATTATTTGATTATTATTGAGGCTTTTGCAACTTCCTTCAAATGAAATATTTGAGACACTATCAAGAATTTTTTCTATCTCTAATAAAATCATCAAACTTCAAGAGTCTCTTTTAAGGTCATGATACCAAATATGATATATCTTGCTATCTATTTGAGGTAGGACATTTTATTTTTAAGGATCTTTATCTTGATATGTTGTCTTGAAGGTTGTCACAATCACAATGTCTCATCTAATAAGTTAGCAAGTAAGAGATCTTGAATTGAATCTATTGCTTATTGATTCTTCATCTTCTTAGTGTCATAAATACATAGAAGCTACAAAGAAGGATTGAAGGTAGAATGTTATTTTTTTGGACCTTACTTCTTTTACAGCAAAGATTTATTCTTCATCTTAATTTTGATGGATGTTGTTGATGAAAAATCTCAACCTTCTTTGTTGCATTTATAAGATTCTTTATTGGCTCCCATGTATATTTATTAATATCATATCGATGTTAATGAACAAGATATTTCAACATATTTT